AAATGGGGCGGTCACTGTTGGGGGCTGCAGAAGGAGCGGCACTTGGAAGTGCTGCTTTCTAAGGGGTCCTGGCAGGGGGACCGTGCCTTCCTCGGACTCCAGGCTAATCGCGGGGTCCACCCCCACTCCATCTTCTCACAGCCCACCGGCCGGGCGCCTGGCGGGAGCGCCCTCGGCCCCGCCCGCTCCCCGCTTCGCTCCCACCCCGCAGCGCGTCGTTCCCGGCCCCGAGCGCGGGACGGGGGTCGGTGGTCCAAGGCTCTGGGGGATCGGCTCCCTTCTGCTCTGAGCGGTCGCGTCCCTCCTTCCCTTCCTCCGCCCTGCCCCACCCTCCCCCTTCCCTCCCCACGTGGAGTCTTCACCTTTGGGTGAACTTGGCCGCAGCCCGCGTCTCCGATAGGGTTGCCTGGCAACTGCGCGCACCGGCCGGGAAGCGGAGGCGGGACGGGACGGCCCGGGATTGGGCGCGCATGACCTCATAGCCCCCCTCCCCCGGGCGCCGTGGGGCTCCTGACACCAGCCGCCCCCAAACCCTGCCCCATCCTCCCGCCCCTTCGCGCGGGGACCCGGGGCTGACGTCAAGGGAAGGAGGCCGCGAGGTGAGGAAGGAAGGGAGAACGCCTGCCCGGGGAGATGGGGTGGGGGCGGCCGCGCCCCGGGACCTCGCGTCCCGCAGGCGGAGGAGAGGCGTCCCGGCTGCCCTTGGGACGGGCTGGCCTGGCGCGCCCACCGGGCTGGCCTTCCCGGGAGCGTCGGGAGAGGTGCCCGGACGCGCCCATTTCTGACGCTCGAGCGCGGACGCGGGAAGCCTTTGCCTTTGCTCAGCATGGGGCATAGCCGAGCGAACCTTGGAGCCTTCACCTTTTTGTGCAGGTAGCGTGCACCGATGGCGACAGCATGGTCACACCGCTCCACCGTCCTTTTTCTCGCTCCCGGGAAACCAGTTCTGCTTTGGTTTCCCTCTTGCCCCATGCCTGTCCGCCCAGTCCCGCACCTCGGCGGGTCAAATCCCTGGAAGGGGGTGCGGGGTTTGCGCCCATTCTCTGCTGTGAATCCCCTCCACCAGCAGAGCTGACGGCGGGGCCGTTGTCCTTTCTTGGGTCGCTGCTCCGGCTGTTGACAAGTGTCATCGCTGCTGTTCTGGTGAGCATCACAGTGTGGTTGGAACGGCTCTCTGTGGAGTGACCGCCGCTGGTGTCTCACCCCAGGCTGAGGAAGGCCTTGGAGCCGGGTGGGTGCCATGGAGACAGGCAGAAGGCCGCCTTGGGGGCTGGAAACCCGTGGCTTGGCAGTCTGGTCCTTGGTGACTGGGACCCACACACATCCCCCTCTGCCCCCTTCCCCCAAGCCTGGAATCACCCACTGGGAACCCAGCCCCCGTCAGAAGCCCCAAGCGGCCCAGAAAGAGAAGGGGTTGGAGATAAAGTGTTCACAGCCACGAGCTTAACAGCAGTTCTGGGGACCCAGTGGGGGGGCTGTGGCTTAGGTCTGAATCTGTGTTTGCGATGGAAGTAGGAAAAGTCACCCAAATTGCACTTAATACAACTTTCACATCTTCTAATCTGGCTTTTAATTGGCCACTGTATAAGGCATTTTGTCAGATCCATCTTTCAGAAATACTTGCTTATTCCTTTCTTTCGTGTAACTCTGGAACTTTCTTGGGTCTTGCTATTTTTACAAGGACCTCATAAAAATAGTGTTTTCCCCTGTGATCGAAAATCTCCCAAGTGGTGAGATCTCAGAAAAGAATTGGTGACCCCAGTAAGAAAGGAGCTTGCTCCCTTGATGTCCGGTCTTTGAGGCTCCCTCTACCCTAAACTCACCGCACTGCGAATGGCTTTTTGCAGTCCAGATTCCTTCCTGCAGTACTGGTGAGTGGGAGGAGGGTCTGTGCGCCAGCAGTCGTGGTCAGATGCCACCCTTCCTTCTCTTCTGAAACCGTTGGAAAGGCTATGGAAACGCAAGGTGCGAGACAGTGTGGAAAATAGGACTAACCTTTAGTTAGTTACAATTAGTGCTGCTTCTGCTGGCTCCTGGTTTGACTCTTTTTTCTGTCTAAAGTTGAGGCCATGCTTGGTTTTTTTACTTTGTCACCCGGACTAGAGTGCAGTGGCCCCACCCCCACAGTTTGCCACAGCCTTGACCTCCTGGGCTCCAGCAATCCTTCTGCCTTGGCCTCCCGAGAAGCTGGGACTGAAGGTGTGTGCCACTGTGCCCAGCTGATTTTTTTATTTAATTTTTTTTGTAGGGATGACGTCTTGCTATGTTGCCCAGGCTGGTCTCGAACTTTTGAGTTCCAGCAATCCTCCTGCCCCAGCCTCCCAAAGTGTTGGGATTACAGGTGTGAGCCACTGCACTTATGGTTTTGTTGGCCCTGGTGCATTTGACCTTTTGAGGCTGACCACCCCCACCCAAAGCTTTCTTCCCTCCAGTCTTGGGACCTAACTTCCCTGCCCAGCCTGTCATAGAGGCGAGGGAACCTCTTGCACATTGAACGGCAGGTTAGGGTGTGAGTTTGTTTGAGGATATTCCTAAAATCCCAGGTCTTTCCTCGCCCCTGCACACTTCCCTTCTGTCCCAGCAACAACTCTGAGGAGTTACAGCTGCATGCAGTGGTGTGTGAACAGTGAATAGAAAGTGTGCCCCATCGGCTTATGGGAGGCCATTGGAGGTGGTGTTCCTGTCCTCCCTGCCTCCCGCGCCAAGTAGTGGGGAGCAGAGCTTTGTCTGCAGGTTGCGATGGCTTCTGAAAGTAGACTTGGCCCCGTGGAGCCTGGTGACCACAGCTGAACAAAAGCACGAGTCCTTGTAACATCAGAACGGGGACTTATTCATGCCGAGTGCTGGTGGACACTGTGTTAAGTGCTTCACTTCATCACTCGTTGAACCCTTCTGACTGCTCTGTGAGGTGGGTATCAGTGTCTCTGTTTTACTGATGGGGAAGTCAGTTCAGAGACTTGAAGTAACTTGTTCAAGGTTACACAGTGAATAAGAATCAGAGCGGGGTTTGATTTTTGGTCTTTCTGACTTGAAAGCCCGTCTGTGCTCTGAATCACTGAGCGATTCCAGGCTCCTCCCCCCAGACTATCCCCGTTATGCAGTCCAGGCCAGTACTTTTGCTGATAAATAATAAGAACAGATATTTATGTAGACTTACTGTGTGCCAGGTACCATTGAAAGCACTTTACAATGGACTTATCTAGCTCACCCAATGAGCCTTTAAGGTAGGCAACTAGTTATCACCCCTATTTTACAGAGAAGGAAAGAGACACCCCGAGAGTGAATTTCTCCAGTGGGACAAAATCGGTGCTCAGATTCAGGGAGTGCAATGCCAGGGCCCATACCTCCCCCCAGATGGAGAATTGTCTCTTTCTGAAGCTGGCATCTGGCCTCTGTCTTGCTGGAAGATGGTCCTCCTTGCCTACAGTTGGGAAAAGAGTCCTGTTGTCTGTTAGTCTCACCCGTTGTTTTCAGTAGAAAGCTCTCAGTAGGGCTTGGGAAGTGTTTTTCCTGGTGGGTAGTGTCAGAGACAGACTGGAGCGTTCTCCTGAAGTCCTGGCTCACACAGCAGCTGCCTGTCTTTCAAACTCCAGACCCTCCAGCTTTGTCTTCATCACTGGATGTGAAGGACGGGGGCGAACTTCAGTCCAGGCTCCTAAACAGTCTCAGACCAGAGACTTTTCTCCCTGCTGTCCCAACCCCGGAAGAAGGACTGCCTCCAGGGCCACACTTGTGTGCTTGCCCAGAGGCAAGGTCCCAGGAAGGGTATGCCCCATGTTCTCCAGGGGGCAGGAAGGAGTAGCGGGGTCCCACCTCACTAGGTGCAGTCTTTCCCCCATTTCTACCCAGAAAGGGCAGCTGGCTGGGTCTTCTCAATTCTCTTTCTGTGAACCCTCTTCCCTGGCTCCCTTTGCCTGGGTACCTCCTTGGTCCCTGACTATGCCCACTTCATGGGTTGGTACTCAAAGCTGCCTTGAAAAGTTCTGTGGGCCGGGCTTGTTGGCTCAGCTTGTAATCCCAGCACTTTGGGAGGCTGAGGAGAGTGGACTGCCTGAGCCCACAGGTTCGAGACCAGCCTGGGCAACTTGGTGAGACCGTGTCTCTACAATAAATCAAAAATTAGCCAGGCATGGTAGTGCACCCCTGTAGTTCTGGCTACTTGGAAGGCTGAGGCAGAAGGATCGCCAGAGCCCAGCAGGTCGAGGCTGGGATGGCCATGAGTGTGCCACTGCACTCCAGCCTGGGTGATGGAATGAGACTTCAACTCAAAAAAAAAAAAAGAAAAAGAAAAAAAAGAAAAGTTCTGTGCACTTTGTTTGAAAAGTACTCCCAGGCACACTGATTGTTTCTTTCAGACACTCTAGTAATTTCCCTTTCTTTTTGCTCTTTTCTGAGGTT